TCAATAAACACAAAGCCCTACCTACAAACACTTATGTTGTGTATTTGTATGTGTGTTTATGTTCTCTATTCAACCCCTATAGTGGCTTATACTCCACCTTCACATTTCTCAGTAGCCTCATCCCCACTCCTTCCTCTTCTACAGGCTCACAGTAATCAGCTGACTATCCTGTAACATAGCCCAGGGCTGAGTCGAGCAACAGATTGCCTCCTTCTCTTGTCATTAGCAAAGTGGGCATCAATCTTTCACGTTACAGGAGGCCTCATTGCCTGGCTTCTGAATAGATCTGTCTCCAGTGTTAACAGCTAATTGGCGCTGGCGCCATTGTAGCATTCAAGGTAGTCATTTAGGTGCATTACAGGCGGAGGCTCCGAGGGCCAGGGAGGGTGACTGCAAGAGAAAGAGAGAGAGGGGTGTGTGGGGGTGTGTATGTGACAGCAATAAGATCTTTTTAATCCGTGTGAAAACAATGTGATTACATTGAGTGTGTATGTGTCAGTTAGTCATTTACAACATGTCCCACTGGTTTGACAAGTCACCTGTCTCATTGAAAGTATGTTACTCAAGTGTATGTAGTACTATAAGACATGTCTATGTGTATGCTCTATGTCTGCATATGTGTGGGTATATTGACCTCAGCAGTACTGCTGTATTACTATCTTTTGATTTGAAGATGGATGTGTGCGTCGGCTTAGTCTGATTATTTTTCTAAATATGTAGTCTGTTCAAACAAACTTAAAATGTAACATGTGTGAAGATACTACTGTATGAAAGTGGAGAATCATTCTGTGCACTGAGCATTCATTTGATTGTTTAATATTTGAGTTGTCACACTTTCATATTGGATATGTACAGACATTAGAAAAATGTTGTTTTTAACACCATGATACTGATCAACCACGTCTGCTAGGCACTGGAGAAATGTTAAGTTTACAACATGACTTCAGGTTTAAAAGAACCAGAACAACACATGCACCGCAGGCATGGAAATACGAAGCAATTCCATTTGCACACATGAACTGCCAGTAATAGGTGGCCTAGGGGAGGACTAACTTTGTCAAATAAATTACAATTTGTTTCCACAGCTCAAAATTGTCTGAAAGATTCTTAGAAAAGTACAATGTACAAAGCCCTGTTTTAGTTACATAGTTTTCAGAAAAGTCACCAAAATCAACTGTTTCAAGTCCTTTTCTCTTCCCCCTTAATTTACTGCCACATCGTTGCTGTGTACAAGTTAAACAGTGCAGCATTAGAGGACAGAACATGAAAGCAGCGTACTTCAGAGTACTGTCACAACTGTGTGACATTACACCGATTTACATGCTACAACTGAACGGCAAAATCTCCTGTCACTGATGTATCCCGTCATATTTTATGTTTGTACATGTTCCTTCAACTTTGTACGCAGTACGTAAGAATAGATGGTAGAATTTACAGCTCTGATGGTGTGAATGAGTGCTTTAATGGGAACGTAAATAGAGTGAGTGCAGCACAGCCTGCTGATTATCCCGACCAAACATTCCACCACTTCAAAGCTGCTGCTGTAATTACAATGCTCTGAGGTGTGCCCGACACACACATCCAGAGGCTTCTGCTTCTCCTCTATCACTCACACATACACACATACACACACACACACACACGCACACGCACACACACACCACACATACACACAGAGTACAGGCACAAACATGCTCAGACAAATTGCTTTCGCTATTATCAGGCTTAAATGATATTATGGAAAAAAGGAAGTGGGATGTGTGGGTAATTTTGCTACACCCAGGAGAGCAGCCCCTCTCATTTCTACCCCTCCTCCTTCCTTCCTGCCTTCCGTCCTTTATTCCTCCTTCTTCTTCTCTTGCAAGTCTTTTTGGATTCATGGTTGTGTCTAATTTACAATACATACAGAGAATATATATTGGCATGCATGTAACAGTATTTTATGTGTATCAGTTTGTTTGCATGTATCGATCAAAGTGAATTTGATGGAAAATAAACAATTTAGGATTAGTTAACACAGGACTGACACAGTTTATAGATTTGTCATCAGTACACGCTCTTGTTGATGCCAGATGGGATATGTTTCAAACACAATTACATGAGGTCTAGCAGTTGCTGTGATTAAAGAATCTGCTATTGAACTGATTCCTGTTGCAACAGAGAGGAATTATCAGCCAAACCAAAAATAATTCTGTTAAGTCCTGTTTCTATTAGACTTAACTCAGATGAGCACAGTGCCTCTATTAAATCCCCTCTTCAAGAGATTTCTCATTGGAAAGTTGGATCTGCGGATGGATTTTAAAATAATCTCACGAGAGAAAGAAAAAGGAAAGGGAGGAGAGGAGAGTAAATACTGAAGAATGAATGAAAAGGATGAAGGGAAAGGTGGATGGACATAAGGTAAGCATGGGAATAAAGAATTAAATAGGGAAGAGACTAAGTCGAAAAGGAGATTCCAAGAAAAATCAATAGAAGTGAACAATAACATGTTGAAGATAAAGATTCAAAATCAACATAACAAGCATGAAGACAGGAGAGGGGAAACATGCCGCTGACACTCAGCCAAGAAAAGGTTCTGAGAATAATGACTGACAGGTTTCCTGCGGGGCATGCGGGCACAGCCAGACACAGAGAGAGAGAGAGAGAGAGAGAGAGAGAGAGAGAGAGAGAGAGAGAGAGAGGTGTGGAGGGTGTGGAGGAGGATGGAGGTTGGGATCCTGAACAGAGCTCTAAAGAAAAAAAAAAAGGCAACAGTTTCTCCCCTGAGGAGTCGCTCCTTTCATCTGGCCGCTCACTGGCGCCTTCACAAACCTCTGATTGTCTGTGAAATAACCCCACTTTAATAAGGCAGCAGCAGCAGCCTCCTGGGAACTGCTTCAGTCTCACATAGGCATGATCCTCAGGCCTGCTGGCTACACATAAATATGCAGAATAAGATGGAGTACTTATAGTGTATATAATCCAACCTCTGGGATGTTGGGTAAAGAGTACAATGTGTTTTTTTATTTTTTTGTATAAACATTGGCTTTAATGTCAGGCAAAAAATTTGATTTTTTTTTCTATGTCTCTCTGAAATCTGAATCAAAACTATTTTCATTGCAAGTTTGAAGTGACATAATCCCCAAATGATCTTCATCTTTTTGGAAGTGGAAGGCTGTAATAGTTTGAGCGCTGTAGGATACATACTGATACACACAGATAGACACACACTCCTCAACATGTTAGGGGTGGGGATCTGGACTTGTAAAGTCGAAGAGCAATTGCTTGTCATTTAGAACATTGACAATGTCCTGGCTGTTAAAAAATTAGAAATTAGGCGACAGATAAGAAAGCTCGTTAAACAAGCATAACCATGGGAAAAACAATCTTCAAATATGTGAAACATCCCTTCAGCTCCAACTGTTTCAACCGTCATTAAAGGATCATTTCTTCAGATAAGCTGCTGGAACAAGTGTGAAATCATCATCAGGAGTCAGGCACTTTCATCTGACATAACATGAAATTGTTCGAGGAAAATTCACAAAGAGCCGCTTCATGAGAGTCACAATGAGTAGCTTCATGTGCAATGTGTGCAGAGAATGAGATTGAATCATAGGACAGGAAGAAGATGAATGAGTCGACATGTAGATGTCTCATCTGTACTTAGGGTCCATTTGTGCCTCAGACGTCGAGCTGAGGGGTTTTAAGGGCTGAATTTGTGTTTGAGTAACTTTCTCTGTACTGTGAATTAAACGGCCTTCACGAAATGCTGCACGGCACAGAGCTGCATTGTGAGTTACGATGGAAAGTCCCAATAAAAATAACAGCTAACAAATCAGCGAGAGATAAAGAAAAGAAGGGATTACATGATAAACATTATTTTATCCCGGGTATAATTCTCCATAATTATCCGCATGGGGCCCGTGTTTACACACACGGTCTCATGAGGTTAGTGTTCGGGCTAATCCATTACTGAAGCTTAACATGTGATAATGCTGCGGCACAGCGATTGTTTTTTGAAGCTTTTTCCCTTAATCCACTTATTAAAGGAAAGAGGCAGCAAGAGATCAAGGGATGTGCTCATGCTTTAATACAATCTTGATTTTTCACCAACCAAAGGAAGTTCTGAAATGTTTCATTTTTTAAGGGACCCTTCAGGAGATTTTACTTGTATTAGTACCGGACCACATCATCTCAGTGAATTCCAAATATTTTCTTGCAGAATAAAAAAAGTCATTTTCTGAACAGTCCATTATTTATTATCATGTTGTATATGTAGCATGTGTGGTCACTATCTGGAGCTTGCATAAACAAATGCTGGGGCTGTGTCGGAACTGTCAATAGTACTGTCAATAAGGCCGTTAATGACAGATCTTACTCTGTTGCTTGACTTATTGTACCTCTATTCATCCTTTTTAAGGCACATTGTTATTCTATCTAACCCTTATCTTCCCTACACTTAAAATACACTTGGTGTTTTATGTTTCTTGTATTTCTTTTATATTTGATGTTATTTTGTGTCTCTCTTTAATGTTGGAGCAACCTGGCACAAGAATTTCCTTTGGGATGAATAAAATCTTTTCTTATCTTTACACTTGTTACTGACTTGAGATCATGTCAAATATATGTGAAGAAGACCAGCAACTACTTAACAGATGATTGGCAAAACTATATAACACAATTAATTAATAAATTAAAAAATGAAAATAAGTTTAACTTATGACACAAAAAAACAACAACAACACTTAACTCATGCTCATAAGATTACTCAATCCAAAAAATGAATACACACATGGCTGTTCTTGACTTCTTAAATTATGTCACATTGGCATAAAAATCAAATACGTCAAATAATCTAGAAAGGAGTAGCCTACGTTTTGTTGGTTGTAGTGCACTCGTTCATAAAAAAATATAAGTAACTCCCGTTTACGACCGGCCTTGAATGCAGCTTGTTTTCACTCGTAAACATTTTGGGAGGCAGTGATTGGTCAAAGTTGAGCCGCGTTTACGTGATGCGTGTACTTACTCCCACATACTAATTGACAGCTCCACAACATCGCGCGCGCTGCAGCCGGCCTCACCTGGCTGCCCCTCTGACTGCTCCGCGTGTCCAAATGTCTCGAGCGGGAGAGATGACTTCTCAGGAGACTTCCAACGACTTGGGCTGCAGTTCTTCCGAGGAGGACAGTAATCGCACGGATTTGGCGGAGGAGAAGGCGACGTCTCCGGTGGTGCGTCGGCATCATCCGTTCAGCGTGGAGGCGATCATGTCCGGGAGGAAGACGGAGGGTCGCGTCGGGGAGTCCACCTGGTGTAAAACGGAGGTGTCGGTGTCTCCTCTCGGTTTGAACTCTCTGTATGTGTGCCGGGAGAAGTGCAGCCTTCCAGGGGAGAGTAGGAAAAGCTTCCCTGCTGCGCCTTCATCCCCGGTTAAATCCGAGGCGTCAGAGTCAGAGGAGTGCGCGCCCTGGGTCACCAGCAGCGCGTTTGCACAACAGCCTCGTAAGTTTGTCTTGCATCCTGGGACATGTAGTATCTGGACTTTAGGTAGACTTTAATGCCTGCTCTCGAGCTCCCACTTTTTTCGTTTTCATTTTGAACAATAGGCTGCATCCTTTTAGTAGTTTGGATGAATATGTGAAAACTGTTTTCATTGGTTTGACTAAAACTTTCTCTTCACTGGTAGACTATATGATCTCTTTAAGGTGTGCTGAAATTATATTTCCAGTTTGTTATATCTATTAAAATAAGAGATATAAGTAAGAACTGTGCAAAGTGGATTCTCAAGCTTTATAGTATATTTGGGGATAAGTGTGTGAAAATGTACTTCTAATCCAGTCAATATTCACAAGAGAAAAAGCGAAGTCTTGGGTTCAGAACCTAATGCCACACAAATTTAGCCTTTTTTCTTAAAGTAAACCAATCAGAACATATAGCCTAAAACACAGACAGTCCTCAATAAGATATTCTCCAAAAGTCACTGTAATAATGATTTAATTAAGCATGTCGTTCAAGGCTTTAAGAGGTTGATCCATTAAGTAAATCTAATCCAAGTCCTTAACTCTTCATTACTTTCCCTCCCAGGTCATGTAAGTCCAGCCTGTCCTCTGAGGAAACACAAGACCAACCGAAAGCCTCGCACGCCCTTCAGCACATCGCAGCTGCTGGCCCTGGAGAGAAAGTTTAGGCAGAAGCAGTACCTGTCCATCGCCGAGCGGGCTGAGTTCTCCTCGTCTCTGACCCTGACGGAGACCCAGGTCAAGATCTGGTTCCAGAACCGCCGCGCGAAAGCCAAAAGGCTGCAAGAGGCCGAGCTGGAGAAACTCAAGATGGCCGCCGATGCCAAGACGGCAGCAGTGGCGGCTGCTGCTGCTGGAGGTTTACACCCTGGGTTTACGTTACCGCTGTCACTGGGGGCCATGACATTGTACGGACAGTCTTATTCTGCCTACCACCACCATCACAGACCCATACTGCCTATCTCACCTCTGGGCCTGTACGCTGCTCCTCTGGGCTACAGCATGTACCACTTATCATAGACATGGATATATCACAGACTGTGTTTAAATGTGTTTCAGAGGATTCCAAAAATAATGGACACCAAGGACTGTGTCTGAATGACAATCTAAAAAAGCAATGATTTATCTACTGCACAAGGAGTGTTTGAATCGACCTCAAGCACTACAAATTCAAATTGTATTTTTTCCATCTGCGAAGATAAAAAAAAGTTGCCCCTTTGGACTACTTGTTTACATATTATGTCTGTAAGAGAAGAAATACCACCATCCAGCTGTTTAGAATGCTCACTTGTTTACTTCTGCAATAATTAAGCTGGAGGCGATGACTTGCACTGCACACAATGATAGAACTTTTCACTTAAGCCTTTTCCTTCATTCTTCATTCAGTGCCTTAAGTTGGGCCTTAATATCAAAGTACTTTGTGCGCATTGTATGGATGATGAGTGTTTCAGACACACAAATAAAACATATCCCTGCAGCCGTCTTTAAATCCTACAGAAGTGCCTGTCTTAAAAACCTCTTAGATTCAGTTTCAGCTTTGTTTCCTCTTAATGAGGTTTCATAACTGTACGCAGTTTATGAGGATCTTCATCCTCTATCTATCACAGCAATAACAAAACATTTTATCACCTTACCACACATTTATTGCCACATATTTATTCTCTTCTCTGGACTATAATTATGCTGGAAATGTATGAATGTCACGTGTATTTATAAGAATTTGGTACTTAAGTTCTGATCAAAATTGTATTTATATTGTTCCTACCTGACGGTCCCTTTGAGAGGGCCGACACTGTGCTATGCAGTTTATATATATATATACATATATATATATTTTCCACTATTGTTATACCATTAAAATGAGTCAATGTTTTGTTTTGAATAAATGACTTTTGATTTTAAGTTGCAAGAATAAAAGTAGCAATATGCAAACATGTGCAGTGCTATGTTGACTTAAGCTCTCTTTTTTTAAAAGTCAGGTTTGAAGTATTTCGGCCATGAAACCAGCTGTGATGCATTTTTCCCCTTTATGTGCGTGCATGTGTGTGTTTGTGTGGTTCTACTCCATGTCTGTGTTTCTCATTAGACAGCGGTCACTTCAAGGCAATGTTTTGACAAACCATAAATGATACCCATAAATTATCCAACTTCACAGATAGTTCCCGGTATAACTCAGCCATCATATACCACACAGCTCAAACTCTTTCTTTTTTTAAAGCAGGAAGACGCTTTTACAGTGTTTGGTTTGCTCAGAAACACAGTGTGTTAAATCTTTGTCAATAATTACTTTGCTTTTTTTATGACCATTATTGAGGTACTAGAGTTTTGTGAGAACCAAACACATTGTTTATCTCTAAAGGTGGTGGGTTGGTTAGAGATAAAAAAAAAAAAAGAAAAGATGTGTGAGTTATCTGTCAAATCTGTATATGGCTTTAAGAATTAACCAGCAACATATAGGCCTACTACTTATTTCGCAGGAAACTAGTCACTTATACTAGCTTGCTTAGACATTAAAAAACATTCCTGACTCATTAAACTGACTAAGCATTGTTGATTAGCTTTGAATTAGCCAAATCCTATCAGACTTTTCCAATCGCGCACCACTCTTAACAGAACTGCCAGCTGAGTTGAGTTACTAAAGAGGTGTCTGTGCTATGTTGCAATTATGAAACCTGCTTACAACTTCCGTGTGACTTTGATGTAATGAGGAAATGGTTTGTGGGCAGCAGCTTATTTACGAGGTTCCCCTTTAATCAGAACAAGAGGGACAGGCCCAGAGAGCTGGCAGGCAAAGCGAGTCGCTCACAGAGACAAGCAATCAGCCTAATGAAGTGCAGATTGGCAGGAGTGGCTTCGTGTAACTTGTGAAACATCAAGTTTGTGCTACTTACTGGGGGGTGGATGGATTGAAGGGGGAGGGGTGTATTTCAGTGATGGAGGGTTCATAACTCTGTCTTTTATTTGGAGGGTTGTCACTTGCACCACAGCTCGGTTTTTGTCATTGTTAGCTGCTGTTCATCTGACAGTGATTCGGGATGTTTGTGGTTTACATGATATTTAAAGACAACATGTGACTGAGCCGGTCTGTGTGCTGGTCATGTGCTTGTCTTTTACCTCCTCTAGTGGCTGTTAAGAGTAAAGCATCATGGGAAAATCTTCCCCTTCTCCGATATTCTTTTGTTGTTCTGAGAAGCAACATGCCAGTAAAATCAGTTTGACTCTTTTAGACTGATAAGAAATTCTTGGAAATAAAACACAAGTCAATGATTTGCTTTCTCGTAAAAATAGAGTCCTTCTTTGCACTTTACAGCTTTTCTACAAAAAATAGTTTCAATTAGGGTTTTTACAGATTATGTCTTTGGTTGCTTTCCTGCCTTTCCCATAGAAATTAATTCATATCATTCTTTATTTTACTACCTCAATATTTTTTATCCTGTCTCTCTATTGTCCTAACCCAGGTCCCTACAGACTGAGCTACTCCCGCCCCAAGGTAGTTCTCGGGTTAGCCATTGGTGAAACTAACATAATGAAACAATTACTCAGGCGCTGTATACTCAGTTACAAACGCGAGGTACTTCTATCTCAGTGGAGTATCTTGACCTTTTTGACCTTTTGGGGCAGCTGGTTCTTCCACAGTTACTTAGTTTCCCAAAAGACATGATCCCCATTCAAATGTAAAGTTAAGGAGTGCAGTTTCAGTGTACTTTTTAATAAAAACACACAAAATACAGTATGTGAATCCAATAAAAAAGTCACATGTGACTCAGGAAGCAACTGAATGAGGCTAGTCTCCTTGACGGGATGGCTCTTAATCAAAAAGATGCTTCTACAAAAAATTCACCGCAGAGGAATCTGGTCTAAGTTAGGGCTCTGTCAGAAGTAAGTTAAAAAAAACCTGTAGGAGGCATTCTTTAGCAGTGCATATTGGCTCTGAACTGTAGGGCCAGTTTAGCTACAAAACCATTTAGTTCAGCTCACTGCTGTCAATTAATGGAGGAGAAGCAAAACACTTGGCCACAATGCTGCTGATGGATTTTGTCAGCATTAGCTAAACATTAGAGCCAGCAGCTCATAGTTGGCTGGGCAGCGCTGATTGCCTGAGAGATGCAAATTAGTGTTATTCAGTGTATTCTCAGTAGTCAGGTGTTCATTTTCTTCTGTATGTCACAGAGTAGAATCGATATTAGCATTCTCTGCTGCTGATTTGTTCTCCTTTAAACTTGTTTACAGACTCCAATGAAGCCGGGGGAAGAACTGATCAGAGACAGAGGGATCCCCACGGTGTGTTCTAACACAGACGAGGACAGGCTGCAAAATATTAGGGTGTGTTAGTAAGTGTGTTGTGTATTCGTGTGTGTGTGTGTGTGTGTGTGTGTGTGTGTGTGTGTGTGTGTGTGTGTGTGTGTGTGTGCTTGGGGGGTCTATTTGGGATTTCCCTTGAGAGTTACACATAAGCAGAAGTGGGGATATTGCCTGGAGCAGGCCAGTGGACCGCAAGGAGGGAAGAACCTCTGAAGATAACACTGAGCATACAAAAATTCCAATACACAAATCATGGTACATGGATGTTGATTTTGACAGTTTTAAACCAGATGTTTGTCTCAGTCTTTCTACTTCTTCAAGAGCTTTACACTACATGTACATTCTCCCTTTAACACACACATTCACAGTGAGGGTCCAGGCTGCTATGCAAAATACCTAGATCCTCATCAGAATAACACTCACACACCCTATGCCTTCAGGAGCAACTCTGGGTTCATTATAATGGCCATGCGACCTGGACAATTACGCTTGTCTTTTGATCAGTGGATAGCCTACTCTGCTGCTGAGCCAAGACTCACAAATATACTGCATGTTTAATTCTGACCGTACATCTAAATACAAGCTCTAACTTAACATTACACTTCACATTAATTGAGAATACACATATAGACAAGCCACTTTTTCTTAATCTTTGGAACATACTGTTTATGTCCATGATGCATCTCAACAGACTGCAGAGATTTCACAAGTTAAAGTAACCTATTAAACAGTGTTTACACAGAGTACACTGACCAACACTGTAATGAGGCTTCTACAAAGGAAGGATGTACACATAAACAGCATATATTCAACATGCTGCGTTCACAGTAACGCTTCATCTCTCAGCTATATTGTCAAATCAAACCTCACAGAGGCTTCAGAAAACATTGTTGAATGTCCATTTATAGCACTTATACTGTTTCCTGACGTCATGAATGAGCTGTTCATGCAGATGTTATGCGTGGCGTAGCCACTGTGACCGCTCAGACAGTCTTTGCTACACTTGGCATCACAAAGCTGAGAGACCTATGTGGATTTCTAGGTTTGATTATCTCTGAGTGAATGTCCTGCCATAAAACTTTGAGTGTCTGTGGTGAAGTGGTTTGAGTTTTAAAATCTAAAGCCGGATACATAACTGGTAGAAGCAATAGTGGGGAGAAATGCACATGACTAATAAATGTAATAAAGAAAGTCGTTCACAGTCTAAGAAATGTTGTGAGAGTCCCTGTTAATTAGAGGATGGCACTGAATGAATAACTGAAAGTGTCTGAAAATGTTTGGTTTTCATTATTCATTTTAGAGGACAGAAGATGGTCAAACTATATGACAATCATTTACAATGGAGGGCTGCAGATACATTAAGAGATAAAAACGGGTGTATTGGACTCATAGGCAACATTTCTTACCAATACTAATATATATTGGTACTTACCAATGCCAATACTACCAATACAAAATCAAAGTCTTTACTTTTTGCAAAAGGGAAAAAACGGCTAAAAAGCGGGGGTGAAGGAAGTTGGAAAAGTTCAAGGTCATCTGAGATGTGGATTTTATCGATCCACCAACCAACTAAATTTGTCCAAATTACTCTCAGCGTCAGAGACCAAGCAAGAATAAAAGACCAAGTCACTGAAATGTCTCAATCAATTCAGCTGTTTAACAAAGAAGCTATCCAATCCAATTTATCCAATTAAAATCTTAATTTAAACCCTGCAGATCCTTGAGATCTAACTCATTAACAACGGTGCCAGGAGAGATACAAAAGTCAAAGTAAAACAAACCCAAAAGGACAACACAAAACACAGACAACACCGGAAATAGCTCAACTTACCAACAACATCAAAATCAGAATCAACTTAATTGGCCAGGTATGCTTACACACACAAGGAATTTGACTTCAGTGAACTCTCTATGTACAAAAAATACAACTAAATTTCAACAATAAACAAAAATAAGCAGAGACTAATATGTATTAGACCGTGTTGGAAAACCTTTATAGAGGCATTTAACAGTGCATTACACATTTAGGGTGAAAACACCTGTTAAGTATGTTACCAGCAAATGAAGAGACATATACAATGGGAAACACGGAGAGAACCTAACGAGCAGTGAGGTTGCAGTACCCTTTATCGTCCAGTAGGTGTCACTAAAGCAGTAAAGTTTGGCTGCAGCAGCCTCAGTGTGCATCAATGAACAAACACCATGCCAGCAGAGGCCATCCAAAAGCATGCTGTTTTAATTTGTTGGCTGTTCTTAAAATAGAGCAGACTGACACTACATTAAATTTTACATGCAAGTCGGCTAAAAGGGACACTTGGCCTTGCTTTACAAGAGTTCATTAAGACTACTACCAATGCAGATGACGCTCCTTATAAAACACAAAGCACACTGGCATATTTATAGTCTCACATATTGTTCCGGCACCTGTTTACACAGCTGACTGCCTCCTTACAAATGTTTGAAGGAATGCTTTTTGCAACTTGAGGTTTATCTTAGGTTGTCTGTGTGTGGCTGTGTGTGTGACAGGAAGGACTAAAGTGATTAAGTTTGGGTACCTCTACCTGTGTGACT